CCTAGATGGGAAAGGCAGGCACATTAAAATATTAATATCTGCTGTCAGGTATTTATTTAGTAGATGAGCTGGCTCTTCTGTGTTAGTCTTGTGGAAAGTATTGATGGAGTAGAAAAACAGAAAAGGCAGAATATGTCTGAGCATTGTGGTGCTTCCAAGGAGGGTAGCTCCAACTGTAAAGGAAAGCTAAGGGGACTTCAAGGGCCAAAGCTCAGGTCTGGGAATGTCAAAGAGATTTTTTTGATCAACTTAAAAATTTTTGCAAGAACTAGCACTACTCACAACAACTGAATGGAACAAAAGAACCTGTCTTCTAACCTAAGGAAGGTGTAAGAAACCTCACTTTTAGGTAACTGTGGGTTAGGCAGATGGAAAGGAAGTATGGAGGCGAACAGTAGCCCACAGAAACATACTGTAACAAACAGCTGGCCACCCTTTCATCAGTACCTCAATTGGAACTTTTTTTTTTAAAAGATATATTATTGATTTTGTACAGAGAGGAAAGGAGATAGAGAGTTAGAAACATCGATGAGAGAGTGTCATCAATCAGCTGCCTCTTGTACACCCCCTACTGAGGATATGCCCGCAACCAAGGTACATGCCCTTGACCGGAATCGAACCCGGGACCCTTCAGTCCCCAAGCCGATGCTCTATCCATTGAGCCAAACCGGTCTTGTCTCAATTGGAACTTGATGCCCTACACTGTCAGGGTGGGCAAAAAAGCATGGTGGTCTTTTATCAATTTACTAGAGGCCCGATGCATGAAGATTTGTGCAAGAATGGGCCTTCCTTCCCCTGGTTGTTGGCACTGCCTTTCCGCTCCAGCCTTCCCATGCTGCCCAGAGGCCCCGAGGGCTGGGGTGATGCGAAATGCCTGCTTCCCGCCCTACCTCCAGCCGCTTGGCATCTGTGTATGCTAATTAACATGCCAGCTTTAATTTGCATACTCACTCCTGATTGGCTGGTGGGTGTCAGGTGTCACGAAGGTACAGTCAATTAGCATGTTACTCTTTTATTAGGTAGATAGTCTGCGGCAAGAACATATCTGGTCTAGGATATTTCAATTTACTCATTCATTCATTCAATAAACATAAAAGTCGAATTTAAAACACAAACCTTCTGTTTATGATCAAAGCCTCTGAAAAGATCACATTTCAATTTTCTTTGTAACTGAATGGGGCAGGTCAGGGAGAAAAGGCTTTCATAAGAACAAGCACTCTTTTGTAGAGGTGGACATGCAGGTGGGCTCAGGAGACTTCCTTTCTCACATAATCTGACAGTTTAGAGCACATGTGTCAATCACAAGGCCCGCGGTTCAAATCCGTCCCGCCAGGCCTTGCAATGTGGCCTGCACCACGCTGTCATCACTGCACTCCGCTGCGTTTCCATCACAATGACAGTTTATGACTGTTCAGTAAACCATTCGGCCCGCGATTTAGGCTGGATTTTAGATTTTGGCCCCTTCTCTGATTGAGTTCGACACCCCTAGTTTAGAGCAACGGTTGCCAACCTTTCGGACCTCATGGACCACCAGTGGTCTGCGGACCAGCGGTTTAAGTTCACTTCATGTCCCATCCCATTGCACCTATCCCATTTGGGGGCATAGTTAGGAGCAAAGGATAGTGCAGGAGTAAACAGAACCGCAAAAGTTACACAACAGTATGCACTTAAGGATTAGTAAAATGTGCCCTAGCTGGTTTGGCTCAGTGGATAGTGCATGGGCCTGGGGACTGAAGGGTCCCTGGTTCAATTCTAGTCAAGGGTTGTGAGCTCAATCTCCAATAGGGAATGTGCACAAGGCAGCAGATCAATTATTCTTTTTTTAAAAAAATATATTTTATTGATTTTACACAGAGAGGAATTGAGAGGGACAGAGAGTTAGAAACATCGATGAGAGAGAAACATCGACCAGCTGCCTCTTGCACACCCCCAACTGGAGATGTGCCCGCAACCAAGGTACATGCCCTTGACCAGAATCAAACCCGGGACCTTTCAGTCTGCGGGCCGACGCTCTATCCACTGAGCCAAACCGGTCCCGGCAGATCAATTATTCTATTGTTGATGTTTCTATCTCTCTCTCCCACTCTGAAATTAATTAAAATATTTTTTAAAAAGAACTAGTAAAAGGAGCATGTTAGGTGCCTACTACCCTATGCTGAGGACCAAGGAAGTCACTTTGAGGTAATACAATAATGATAACATTTTTTGAGTGTCTATTGTGTTATAGTCTGTACTCGAGGCATTATTTCTAATCCTCAACAAAGCCTGTGAAGAAGGTGGCATTTAATTAACATTTAATTAATGTTTAATTTTAAGTTAAAATTAAAATAACTTAGCCAAGATTTATTCCTTCCTAACCTAATAGAGATCTACTCGGTATTTGAACTCTGCTACTTAGCACTTTCCCAAGCCCTGTTTTAGATATCCAATATAGCTCTTGCTTTATTTTCCTATTTGTTATCATCTGCATACTCTGGCTGGCTCAATGAAACACATTAATGAAGTCCAGGTACATGAGGGCATTCTCTGTAATGCCACTCTGTTCCAATTCAATTCAATCATTAATGACAACCAGTACTCTATGCCGTATCAGGCACAATCCTAGACACTTGGGAGGCAAAGCTGCACCCACATTCGGATTTGTCCTGCTCTTACTCCAGGAGGCAGAATGTGGAGAGCTCTTGGCAAACTCATTCATCACCACTGATGAAAACAACTCGGGATACAGAATCTTTATAAAGGGAGGACCTCCCATTATCATCAACCGTTTCTTGACCCGCTCATTCAAATACTGCCTTTCTATCATTGCTGCTCCTGCTCGCTTCATCCTCTTCCTGTCGCCCTGCCCTAGCTGTCAGTGTTTGTCATCCTGTGTGCTCTCACCAGCTCTGCTCCCACACTCCCAAGCCCCAGTCCTCACCATCTTCCCTTCAGGGAGCAATGGAACCTGAGACTCCATCACCCATACATAATGTGAGGAAGAAGTGTGTTATGTGTGTGAGTATGGATGTCTGTATGTACTAGGAAGACAATTGTTTTGTAGGACTGCAACAGAGAAAGGCAGACCTTGGACCTGCTGAAGCCTTATTACTTAAGGGCTGTTTCACAGTCTGACTTCGGAAAGCAGCCCAGTCTTTCTGTACATGGCATTTAAATATTACTCACCCAAACCTATGACATGCAGTCAAGGTGAAAGTAGTGTGTTCACAGGGACACTATTCATCCACTGACATCTGAAATGGATTTTACTTTCCACACTTATTAAAGATTTAAGAAACTCAAGGTTTCTAAATTGTTTTATAAAAACAATGAATTGATAAAGAGTGAAAACCCAATTTATTTTGTGTACCTGGAAAACCCTAGAGGAAGTAAGTTATGAATAGTCTACCCCCATAACTTAATTTCACTCTTCTGGGCAAAACAAAATAAAATTTTATACCCTCTAATAGTTTGCTTGTTTTAGAAATAACTCCTAGGTGACTTTATAGGGAAGTAAAATAACTCAAAATCTTAAGCATTTTTCTTGGACTTCTTTGAGATTATTGAAGACTTTGAGAAAGTTATTAAATGTTTCAAAGGTGTGAAAAGGAAACAACTGAAAATGATGTAGACTATTCTGTGAGAACAATATGTTATTTTGGCATTCTTAAAGAACCATAACATGATTTTTCTGGGAAAGATAATGGATACAGTATGTGGATTTAATTTCTAAATTAACACTGAAGAGCAAGCTAGCAGAAGCTTTCTGGAAAAGTTTTCTGATTTTTCTGGAATGTTTAGAACTCCCCCTCTCTGTCTGGGAAAGACCACTGCCTATTAGGTGGGACTTACTACTTCACAAGCAGACTGCTTCTCTAGGTGAGTCCCAATTCCAGAGTACTGTGCTGGACTTTCCCTTCTATCCCTTTTCTCAGAGCCTTCTGCCGGAACAGGAAGAGGAGATCATGTAGAACAACACAAGCAGTACAGAGAAGCTGGAAATCTTTTCAGTCTCTCTGATTGATAGGTGAAACCAAAACTGGACAGCAGCAAAAATGTTACCTGGAAGGGGAAAGGGACACCCAAACCAAGAATAGGACTACCTCCAGCATCATGCTGGAGAGTGTAGAAAGTCAGACCTCTGGATAGCAGAGGGAAGGAGCAAGTCCCACTTCAAAAATTGGCAATTTCTGGAAGTCTGATGATCAATAAGCTGACCATCCCTATCTCCATGAAATAAAACTGGTCAACACTAATGTGGATAGACATAAAGACAAAAAGGTTATACACATGTGAATGACCAATCATGAACACTGCTCTTATCATCACAAGGATAACTGATTTGGATAGAGAAAGGGGGTTACAATGGGATATTAGCGATCGATTTAACAAGAAAGAATTCACTACGTTTCTTCGGGAAGCCTTTCCAGAGGAGGTTAGCTTCCAGACTCTGGACGAATAGCAACAGGAGCTCAGCAAAGTGTTCCAACCAACCACAGGAAAATAGCTCAGAGGGGGAGTGAACTGATTATATGAATGGGGCATTGAGTAAAGGGCGCAGGAGAGAAGAAAGGGGAACAGTCAAGGGAAATAGGGCTGGTTCAGGGTGTCCTAGTTAAAGATCTCCCAACTAGAGAAAGCCGGGGCGGGGGCAAGGGAAGGCAAAAAAGGGAAAGCAAAAATAATTCCTTCACTGATCTCGGTAGGCAAGTCAAGGGACTGGGGTTGGCACTACCTGGAAAAGCTGACACACAGGCTTTTGCCCTGAAGAGTGAACAGTTCCCGGAGGAGAGGGCCCCTTTTGAAAGAACACGGCCCGCTGCCTCCTGAGTTCCTGGGTGGGTGGGGGCCCTGGGGTGCTAGCTGAAGGCGCGGGGGCAGCTCAGGCAGGTGCTTCTTGGGTGCTGGCACGGACTACAGAGCTAAGGCTCAGCGGCGGGACCCGCACTCAGCTTAGCGACAAGCAGGCGGCGGCGGCGGCGGCGGCGGCGGCAGCTGCGCGTGCAAACCACAGGACTTACCTTACTGTCATCCATCTCGGCAGGCAGGCCAGCCTGGCCAGGCGCTCCCTCCCCCTGCCCTCCCAGCTCCGCCGGCCGGGCCCGGCCCGGCCCCCGCCCCGGGGGAAGAAGGGGGTATGGTTCTGACTGCCTCCTCTCGCCTAACAGTTCGCTTCCCTGATGCCACCGTCACGGGGAGGATGAGGGACCAGTTCAGGAATGGCAGAGCGGACCCTGGAGGCGGCCCAGAACGCCTCCCTTCGCCGCCACCGCCCCCTCCGCCCCCTCCATGACAGTCTGGGTGTGTTTACAGGCGCCCTGGAGAGCTGCCGGGACACTGGGGTGGGCGGGGGGAGAGGCACGCGCGGAAGGGCCCCCTCCGGCCGCCGTAGCACCGCGGGGTTCTGGGGATTGTAGTTTTCCCTTTCCCCAGTCTGTACGCGGCAGACGAGGAAGGGAACTACAATGTCCACAAGGCTTCCGCCAAGCGTCTGTTTTCCTCCTGCTGCGAGCATTGCGAGGGCGGGACCGGGCGGGGCCGGGCGGGAGGCCCTCACTGCGTTTCCCACAATCGCTCCCTGGGAGGTTTGGGCCTCGGGGTCCCAGCGGCTTGGGCACCGGGAGGAAGGAGTCTGGGGCCCTATGGAGGCAGCCCTGAGGTGGGGACCCCCAGAACCCCCGGAAGGTTTCTTATTGAAAAGGCGCGGCTGCTTCGGGAAACTATTTGGAGGTTCCTTACGATATTAGAGTTACCATATGGCCGGCAATTCCCGGAGAAGTGGGAACACATGTCCACATGAAAACTTGCACTTGACTGTTCTGTCCTAGAAACTTTGTTCATAATAGTCCGAAAGTGGAAGCAAACCAAGTGTCCTTCAGTGGATGAGTGAATATGGCCAATTGTAGCGTATTGTTAGGAATAGTACCAGACCCTAAAGAGGAACGAAGTATTGATGACGTGCTTCAATGTGGATAAGCCTGGGAAAACATGCAAAAATGAAAGAAGCCAGACAAGAAAGCCAAGCCACATATGGTAGATTTCACTTATAAAGAAATGTCCAGAATAGGTAAGTTTAAAGAAACAGACAGTTGAGTGGTTGGCGGGGGCAAGGGTTGGGGAACAACAAGGAGGAAGGGGAGCTGGGTTGGGGGAGTGATGGTTAATGGATCCTGGGTTTCTTTTTGAGGTGATGAGATGTCCTCAGATTGATTTGGGGATGGCTGCACAGCCCTGTAAACATGTTAAAACCCACTTATATATATATTTTTAAATGAGTACATTTTATGGTGTGTGAATCATATCTCAATAAAGCCATTTAAAAAAATGAGTGTCCTTGTGCCCTCTTGATTTAATAAAGTCCATGAGCTCGTTGTTGTATAAGCCTATATCAGGCCATTGAGGACTTGACAAAAGTTGTGTGTTCATTAATGTTATTCTGAAGAGCCCTTTGATTCCTTTTACACTCTTCCAAAATTCAATTTGAGATAGAGTTCCCAGATTCAGCAGTAAGTATACAGGACAGTCACTTACAATTGGGTTTTCAGAATAATACCTTTTGTAGTATAAGTATGTCCCATGTAATATTTGAGACACATTCTTACTTAAAAAAAAAAGTATTTGTTCTTTGTCTGAAAATGAAAATTAACTGGGTGTCTCCTGTTTTATTTGGCAACTCCAAATTGAGTAAGAGTAAGTACTAATAGGCAAGTTGAGTCATATCTGTCTGATCTGTACAGTCAGTCCTCCAAAGGCGCTGTGAAGAAGGCAACCTCTTCCAAGTCAATACGGCCTGGGCAGGTCATGAGGTTGGTAATGAGTCTGGCATGCTAGGCTAGGGACTGTTGGGCCTAGCTACATCCTCTCTGAGGATCAAGGGGGCAAAAGTCGGTGTCAGTGCAGGCTCTCTTCCTCTTCCTTACCTAATACCTCTTGTTCAACACCTCCAAGAGTCCCTTTCCACCTCCCAGCCTCCTCATCCTGAGCCCAGCCTGCCCTCACTTTGCCTCCTCCCTGTGCCTTTGCTGCTGTTAAGCCCTGTTCGTCAAAGTGGAACTGTTTTTCTCCTGGGTTAGTTCTCTGCCACTTCTCCTTCCCACGACAGAAATGCGCCCACATGGATGGACCCGGAGAGCATTATGCTCAGTGAAGTCAGTCAGAAAGACAAGAACAGTAACCATATGATTTCACTCATGCGTGGAATCTAATGAACAAAATAAACTAACCAATAAAATAGAAGCAGACTCATAGAGAACAGACTGACAGCTGTTGGGGGGATGGTGGTGAAAAAGGTGAAGGGATTAAGCCAAAACACACACACACACACACACACACTAACCCTCAATAGACCTGGACAACAGTATGGTGATTAACAGAGGCAAAGTGGGGATGAGGTGAAGTAGAAGAGGACATTGGGGGGATAAATGGTGATGGAAGAAGATTGGATTTGGTGTGGTGAACACACAATACAACATACAGATGATACATTATAGAATTGTACCCCTGAAACCTATATCATTTTATTAACCAATGTCACCCCAAGAAATTCAATAAAAAATATGCACCCAGCCCTTGGTAATGGAACTTAACTACCCATGCTTGGCCGGGTGTGAGCAGCTCACAGACACAATTGCCAGTACCTAAGGTTCTTTGAACCAAGCAGTGGGAATCTAAAAACTTGCAGGGGCAGCGTGTATATATACCAGCTTCAGAAGAGTGGTTTTCTCTAGGGAGGAAGGGGGCCTGAGATTCAAAGGTTTCTGGGTGGTTGGCTATATGTTTAACTTTTAAAGAGATGAAGCAAATATGTTAAATCTGTTAGTTGGGATGTATGTTGTGGTATCCTCTTTGTATTTCTGTACATATGATACATTACACAATTAAAATAGGAATTAAAATTTAAAAATATAAACACTTTAGAAAGAGTGGAAATACTTTATTAATTTTTTTTAATTTATAAAAATAAACTTAATCACATCATAAAAGAAGACATTATAGTCGAAACCAATTTGGCTTAGTGGATAGATTGTTGACCTGTGGACTGAAGGGTCTCAGGTTCAATTCCAGTCAAGGGCATGTATCTTGGTTGCGGGCACATTCCCAGTCGGGTGGAGTATGCAGGAGGCAGCTGATTGATGTTTCTCTCTCATTGGTATTTCTAACTCTCTATTTCTCTTCCTCTCTGTAAAAAATCAATAAAATATATTTTTTTTTAAAAAGAAGACATTGTAATTGGAAGAAAATCTTATGAAAAAGTATTGTGTAGTCATATGTTCAACATTTGCAGAGAAATGCCCAGGATTGGTAACAAATTGGTGAGGGAGAACAAGAATGAATGTTAACTTCCATAAGTATAAACCCTCAAGAACTTTGTAATCCAGGAAGGAGAAATTCACACACACAGGAAACAGCGAAGAATCATTAAACAAGGCACCTGATGAAAAATAATACAGATCAAGTTTAATACCTCTGTGTTAAGTGGGTAGGGAGATCCAAGCATCAGACTGATTGCCAGAAAAGGAAAAGTGAACACAGCAAATGAATTTCCTTTAAGGAGTGGGAAGAAGTTTAGAAGAAAAATATGCTCTCCGACTCGTAGGCATACTTTACAAATTCATGGTTTTTAATCTTTCCCCCTTATATCGCCTTCTCAAAAAGAACCTCCAAGGCATGCAATCCCTTTTAAAAATGCATATTTTCTCCTCCCCCCACTTTTCCCTCCCCAGCACACTCACAGACACATTTCATGCACTCTCAGACACCCCACACAGAGGCACTGTTGGCCCAGGACGCATCAGGCTTCTGCTGCTGCTGCGGAGTTTCTTGTGCCATTCCTCAGCAGCATGGCACACACCCACGCCCACTAAGTCTGCCTGCCTTCCATGCCCTCATCCCTCTCTCTCTCTTGTTCTTCTCACCACTAGGCTAAAAGAGCACAGGTGTCTAAACAGAGCCAAGACGATCATGTTACTCCCCAGGCCACGTGGGCCCGCTTGGCACATGCCTCTGGGGAAACATCAGAGAAAAAGGAAACTCATTAAAATAGTTTCTTAGGCTCCAGCTGGTTTTCCATTAAATCTGACACATGAGAGTCTACGAATTTAAAAAATTATCTAAGCCCTTTCCAAACTTTCATTGGAAATGAAAGTTGCTAAAAAAAAAAAAAAAAAAAAGAAAAGAAAAAAAGAAAAAAGAAAGTTGCTTGGCTCATTTCTGACGTGGAGATTTTCCCCCATCTCCAAACTAGAAATAGAGATAATTAAAAACAAAGCCTGCCAAGAAAGAAACAAAGGTGGCCATGAACTCTACCATCGTAACTTCTGACCCATCTTAACTTTCCATGTTTGAGAAAGAAGGTATCCCACAGCCATCCTAGAAGTGACCAGCTTTACTTTCTGTCCCTGGCTAATCTTTTTAAAGAGCCGATCATCTATAGCTGAGTAATAAAAATTTAAAAATCAACCATGTACCGTGAATTTGTGGATGGTTCAAATTTTGACACAGAAAATGAGAAAAGAGAAAACTATTCATAGAAAAAAACAAACCTCTGATTGAAGAGAGGTAGGGGGTGGCATGAGATTAAGTGAGGAGGGTAAAGGGAACAAAAATTAACCTTATAGAAACCACAAACAAGGGGAACAATACAATATTCTACATTCAGGAATGCCATGGCCACGTTGATATGTAAATCTGGCACTCAGAACAACAGGGTATTATTGCTGCTGATATGGTAATCTGGAGAGGTACCGAGAAAAAGTGGGTGGGTCATGTGAAATTCATGAAATGCTTGAGGTGAGCTCACTGCTGAAGTATTAGTCACGTCTTGCTTCGTGTGTGGTTTTTCTCCCAGTTTGTTGTATAGATAAGTATTCCTCTGTACTTTTTGTCCCCGAAGAGTTTGGTTTCTTTTCATGAGGCTTTAAAAATATTTCATCTCAAGAGTTTGTTTCTGTTCTAAAGGCATTTTGCAAAATGCCTTCCCTCCTTTGGCCTACTCAGACAAATATGCCTACATTTGCATACAGCACAGTACCTATTTACTCTGCATTGGCTAGAAAGTTCAGAGGCAAGAGCCTAAAGGAACATTTTCAGACTGAGCACATAATTCAGCCTCCAGCTTGTCAGCAGGAGCAAAATAAATAAATAATTCCAAGAAGGATTGAAACGGTCTGTTGAGAAGGAAGGAAAAAGAGACACAATCAGCATAAAAACAAGGAAGAGAAAATGAAGCTCCAGGAACCAAAACCTTCCATGTTCAAAGTTTGCCTTACCTCTTCCCCTTCACCCATATACCGAAACCTTCTTAAACTCAACAACTTTTCTTAATGTTGTCCCAACTATCATCCCCACTTAAAATACTGCTGTTATTCCCAAGCCATATATTTTACTTCTCTTAGTAGAAAAGAATAAAGTGTGCCCTTATTTGAGGAACTAGTAGAAAATTTACTTATTTGGTCTGTAGGCAACTGTTTAAAACTGAACTACCCTTTTGTAAAAGATAGCTTACTAAGCACCACTCAGTCATTTATGCTTTAGTATGAATGTGTCCCTTCTCCCCCTTTTATTTGTTACCTAACAATTAGTTTAATAGGGGGTTTAGGTGTAGAAGAAGAAAATTCTATGACTTTAAAAGGTAGGTGTTATAAAAAGGGGATAGATTTGAGTAGATATGTTTGCTGTGGTAGGACTTTAAGTATTTAAAGAGAAACAAGTCAACACTGGATACCTGTAGGGTTGAGGTCAGGGGAGGTAGGGGGGAGATGAAGAAACAAGTGACCAGGTTCCTTCTTTCATAATTCTCCTGAGGATTTACTCAATAGAAACACATTAAACAAGCACATCTTATTCTATTGACTCAGACCTGAAGAAGCTTAAACTTACCATGGTACATGTCATAGAGTAAGTAAAACACACCCACACACAGACACACCAAAGCAAAACAAAACAAAAAAATACAAGAACCCCCCCCAAAAACAAACAAACAAACACACACACACACACACACACACACACAAAAAAAAAAAGCCTGCATTTATTGCTCAAAAAACTCTTTATAAAAGCAGCTTTCTTTAATCAAAGTTCACTTCTGAGGTGGTTGTTTCCATGTAAGAGTTGGTAAACCAGAACTGTTTGTTGAATGAAAATCTGACAGGGCTCCTCTTCCAGAGCTCGCATTTTTAAGAAGCAAAAGCCTGGATAATCCTAGGTTGTCCAGGAGGACATGTGGTTTTGGTACCTGTACACTTCAGGAAAGCAGCAGGGGAACCATTTCTTCAATTGTGAATAATCCTAACTGCTTCAAATTTTGCTTCAATCTTCCCTATTTCTAAGCAGGGGGGGGGGGGAGACCCTAAAATTTACTATTGAGACCTTATCAGATGTACTTATGATCCTAAAGATATTTTTTTTAAAACACAAATAATATTTTTGAGAATTTAAGTGTTAATATTTTCTGCCTCTTGTTAGGTGCTGTCTATTGCCAGATGAAAATACCTTCAACCGTTTCTTTCTGGCATTACTTTTTAATATTATGATATTCTGATTTTTCTATTTGGTAACACATACTCCATTTTATTTTTTTTTTACTCATTTACATAGTTAGGTTAAGAATTCTTGCCCAGCCAGCGTGGCTCAGTGGTTGAGTGCTAACCTATGAACCAGGAGGTCATGGTTCAATTCCCAGTTAGGGCACATGGCCAGGTTTTGGGCTTGATCCCCAGTGGGGGGAGTACAGGAGGCAGCTGATCAATGATTCTCTCTCATCTTTGATGTTTCTATCTCTCTCTCCCCATTCTCTCTGAAATCAATAATAAAAAAATAATTATTTTAAAGCATATTTTCAAGGCCTTAGATTTACATAAGAAGACTTTTATTTCAGGATATATCTTTAAATCTTTTTGGTTATGTATAGAATTGTTTCCAGAAACATTTAAGTCTGAAGGTGTTAAATGTCATCAGTCTTCTTTGTTAATGTGTTACTGGAAAGGTACAGTACCTAATATTCTGTGTGATAAAACATAATATTAGTAGTAGTAATATGGCTGGAGAGTTTCTAAAAAATGTTTGCATGAAAATTAGCTCATAGGAATGAAGGTATTGCTACATGGAAGCTGACCAATTCTACTAACAGTATAGAGTGGGGGAAAAGTTGTTCATATGGGAAATAATACAATAATTAATAAATAATAATACAAGAATAAACTCTGTGTTTTGCGTACTCACAACTGTAAACCTACGTTTCCCTCACCCTGAATTACGAACAAGCAGTCTCTGGTAGAACAGCATGGTTGTTCTAACATTATCGTTAAAAGTTAGATATGGGAACAGAAATAATTACTTGCATATCTGTCTCTGTCATTTATAACCGTGTCCAAATCATTGCTGCTATGTGAATTCTAAGGGTATCTCAAATGGGTTTTAAAGGACACCCTTTTATTCCTATTTTGTAAGCAAGTCCAGGCTGATTCTGCCCTCACTGTTTGTTTTTTATAGATTACACCATGCCATTTCTCAGCCTTTCCCTAACCACGATGAAACGTACTGTTTTAACAAGTCTTTCCCCATACCTGTGAAGTCCTGAGTGGCCTGTGAAATTTCTGACGCGGACACCTCTCTTTCCAGGGACAGCCCCCAGAGCTGCCTCAGTGACACCTCCCGTTGTATGTGGATGAAGAATCACACTTCTGCTTGTTTGTTAATTGAAGTGAAAAAATTATTCTGTTTCCATTTCTGTTCTGGACTTGGTGCTGACGGACATTGTCTGGGACCTTCTACTAGAACTGATGGGGCTTGCAACCACCGTGATCCACAGGAACTTTGTGTAGGCGTAGACATTAGTTCCCACACAAATACTAAGCTCTTTGTTCCTCTCATTTTTCTTATTTAAATCAGATCCTTGTTTCCCCTAAAGGAAACAGTTTATGCAGCTAGCTAGTCTGTTACAGGACTCATTTTATAATGATCATAGGAAAGCGAAAGTTTTAAGAGTTTGTTGCTCCGGCCTCTCCCAACTCTCCTGCTGCCCTCAGGTTGGTGAGATTCAAGACACAAAAGCAGCAACACCCTCCTTCCACTTTTATCAGGAGTCCATATTTCCCATTGAACACTTCATAGACCGACTTTACATTTAAGCTCTGGCCACTAGATATTTCTCTAAAGTTGACTAGGAAGTCCTTTTAGCTTAAGTAATGCTGCCTTGCTCAGATAAGCTGCTTGAGATGTGTTTGTGCCATTTCAAGATGGCCTCGTGCTGGCTGATGCACACGCAGTTAGGGGTTCTGCAAGAAATGTGGATCTTTTCTGGAGTATTCGGCACCTTGGTCACCAGCCTTTACCTGCTCCTCCACTCTTCACTCTTTCCCTCTTCCCATGGCTTTCTTAAGTTGTGCCCTGTGTTTTTGTTTTGTTTTTTGTTTGTTTGTTTTTGTTTTTGTTTTTAAAATATATTTTATTGATTTTTTACAGAGAGGAAGAGAGAGAGTTAGAAACATCGATGAGAAAGAATCATCAATCAGCTGCCTTTTGCTGGGGATGTGCCCGCAACCAAGGTACATGCCCTTGACAGGAATCGAACCTGGGACCTTTCAGTCTGCAGACCGACGCTCTACCACTGAGCCAAACCGGTTTGGTTGTTTTTGGTTGTTTTGTGTTTTCAGACAGCAGGTCCTGGCTCAGGGAAGGGGGAGAGGGGGAAGTATTTTGTCCTGTTTTCTCTTGGAAAGCATCAGGCCTTCTGGTGATTTCCTTAGAGAGCCACCTTTCCCGCTCAGCACGGAACTTGTCTGTTGATCTGTTGTGTTCTGGCTGCTGCAGGTGAGGCCCAAACACAGTTACAGCTTCCTGCCCAGTTATAGCTTCCAGAGAAAAAGATTGCACCTCCTCTTCATGGTAACCCTCATCCTTCTGATTACCACCCCCAACCCCCACCACACACACTGTAAAATCCCTGAGGTAAGTAGTACCAGCCACACTTGCTCAGTTTTCTTTTCTCCAATTGTACTTCCTCCCTACTTCCCATCCCTGATCTCATTCATGCCTTTTTTTCTCCCTTGATTCTACCCCTAAATCAAGATCTCCTTCTCTTGGTACCACTGATGCATGGCTTGATAGCTCCCAGGGCTCTGCCCTCCTTTAGACTTGGGAAGAACTACTTCTGCCCTGACTGGTCTGACTCAGTGGATAGAGCGCCGACCTGCAGAGTGAAGGGTCCCAGGTTCAATTCCGGTCAAGGCATGTACCTCAGTTGTGGGCACATCCCCAGTAAGCGGTGTGCAGGAGGCAGCTGATTGATGTTTCCAACTCTCCCTCTCCCTTCCTCTCTGTAAAAAATCAATAAAATATATTTAAAAAAAGAACTATTTCCACAGTTTCTCCAGGTGCCTGCAGGGCAACTCAGTCCCCAGCCATCCAATAACTAAGGTACCCAGCACAGCTGTTCCCTTGTTTCCACAGGTGCGATGGCTAAGTTTGGAAGGACAGCTTGTTGTGGGGAGGTGGAATCAGACCCCCTTCAGCATTCTTCCAGGGAGCTGTCTCCCCAGAATTCTCTCTTTAACGTTCCCAGCAAACAGGTGGTCACTCCATTGGTAGTAAATTCCTGGGTATTTTTACCCAACACCCCAGAAACATAATGACAATGTTATTGGACATGTCATACAGCAGGGCAAATGAGTAATGTTCTCATTAATCAATTTGCCAAAGAAAACACAGTTCATGTAAAGGAAGAAAAACTCGGCCATCTGCTTACAAGTACACTGTCAAGATAAAAATGATATATACTTAGTGACTTGGTGTGTTTTCAAGTTAGCCTTCCCCTGTACAAGGCTGCACCAACTGCACAGTAAGTAACACTCAAGTAACTGTTTTAAGAACCTCACTATAATGCTTTAGTAGTGTCCATTGTGTGGGAACTGAGGTAGAGATAAGATAAAATCCAAGAGGGATGCAAATTTTACCAGATTTGTCACTCAATTAAGAAATGTCATACTATAAAAAAAAACCTGCTGCTGTAGTATGGTTGATTCATTTTTTTATGCATCCACTCATTTATAAAATGGATTGAATGCTTCTTCTCTTTAGAAATGTGCTATACATTAGGCACCCAAAGATATTTAACACTCTATCCTGCAGTTAAGTATTTAGAGAAGTATGCAAATGAGTCCCCCATCAGTGTGTAAGCAGAGACCCTGTCTCGTGCTATATACTAGGCACCCAAAGATGAATGAGACAGGGTCTCTGCTTACACACTGATGGGGGAATCATTTGCATACTTCTCTAAATACTTAACTGCAGGATAGTGTGTTAGGTGGGATGACAAAGGTCTATATAAATTATAGAGAGGATCTAGGGGAAGTCTTTCCTGAAGAGCCAACTTTTGAACCAGGGAGCTGTCTGATTCAAAGGATAAATACAATTTTTTAAAAAATAAACCTTTATTGTTCATATTATTACAAAAGTTCCTCATTCCCCCCCCCCTCCACCAGATTCCTACCCCACCCTCTGCCCTTTCCCCACCCCCATTGTCCTCATCCATAGGTGCACAGTTTATGTTCTGTCTCTTCCCACACCCTCCACTCCTCTTTTCCCTGAGAATCATCAGTCCACTCCCCTTCCATACCTCTGATTCTATTATATTCAACAGTTAATATTATTCATCAGGTTTTTTAATTCCCTTGGTTTTTAGATTCACTTGTTGATAGTTACGTATTTGTTGTTCATAGTTTTTATCTTTATTTACTTTCTCTTCCAAAAGAACCCCCTTCAGCAATTCATATAATTCTGGTTTGGTGGTGATGAACTCCTTTAGCTTTTTTTTATTGGTGAAGCTTTTTATCTGGCCTTCGATTCTGAGTGATAGCTTTGATCGATAGATTATTTTTGGCTGTAGGTTCTTACTATTCATCACCTTGAATATTTCTTGCCATTCCCGTCTGGCCTGCATAGTTTCTGTTGAGAAATCAGCTGACAATCGTATAGGTGCTCCTTTATAGGTAACTACCTTCTTTGCTCTTGCTTCTTTTAATATTCTCTCTTTGTCTTTTGCTCTTGAAATTTTAATTATGATTTGTCTTGGTGTGGTCCTCTTTGGATTCCTTTTGTTTGGAGTTCTGTGTGCTTCCTGGACTTGTAAGTCTAATTCTTTCACCAGGTGGGGGAAGTTTTCTGTCACTATTTCTTTCAGAATGTTTTCAATATCTTGCTCTCTCTCATCTTCTGGGACCCCGATAATTCTGATGTTGGTTCGCTTGAAGTTGTCCCAGAGGTTTCTTACATTATCTTCAACTTTCTGGATTCTCTTGCCTTTTTGCTTCTGTGGAGGAGTGTCTT